AAAATAACCTCATTTACTCGAAAGAAAAGAAAAGGCTCAACTGTGAAAACTTAGGCAAGAAAATAACTCAAGCCATCAGCCTCATTCCTCCTAATAAACTCAGAATGCTTTTCAAACCGTGCTGTTTATTTCTAAGGTGATCAGGGTTTTACCCCAGCCACCATCCCTAAGGAATTCATTGGTGGTTCAGAGAGGAATGTTACAACTGGACAAGACTCCTGACCTAGACTTCTGGAGACAAAACAACAGGACGTGCAAATGGACCTAACTATCCCTGATAGGTGACAGGCTGTGGGGTAAGTTTCAGTGACTGCCCAGAGGCTGTCAGGACTGCACAAGGCAGTGAGAACAGAGAATCTTTCAGCCAGCAGGCCACTCACAGCCAGCAAATGCCCACCAAGGACAGGTCCTATGCTGGAAGCTTTGTCAGGCAGCACAAACACAATTCTAAGCAGGTAGTTAAATGACCAAAGCTAGTTGTGAGCAATAGGGAGTGGTGGGGATTATAGCACACAGGAGGATTCATACCACCTGCAAAGGGCGCAGCTGCAGTGCAATTCCCTCCAAGTGTTGCCACTACCACACTGAGATGTGGGCAAGAGGTCCTGTGGCCCTGGGTCCCACATTTTGGGAGTCCCTGCTCTTCTTCTCCTGTAGCTGCAGTCCTCCCCATGGAGTAAGAAGTCTACAGGGGTTCATGGCCACCTAGAATTCATGCCTAGCATTCTAGACCACATCCTGGGTACTTGGGACCCTAAAACTCCACCCAAATGGCCCAAACCTGTCACAGATGACGCTTAGGTCTGGGAATAGCAAAGGCGGCTGTCTCTAGGGCAAAAAGGCAGAGATTGAACATTCAGGTTAGGTTATCCTGAGGCCCATCATGGTGTGGGATGGAGCCAAGGGTGGAGAAAAGGGGGAGGAGAGCAGGCACTGCCCATGCTACCACTTTCTGGTGAAAAACTCCAAGGCATCTTAGAATTCTAAGTTCAAGTCTAGCCTCCCAGGTCATTAAGAAGGAATTTGTCGAGGGGTAGAGGAGATAGAGTGCATTCTTGTTTTGGAGCTTCATAATTACTTAAAAATATTTAGCCATGTGTGATGGGGCCTCCATGTGAGCTCCTGCTCCAAGTCTCGCAAATGTCAGGAACTGGGTGTCTATGACTAAGTGGGAGTGATGCTGGAAAGACCAATTTTTATGTGATGTCCCCTAATTATTAAATGTTGACAAATAATAGTAACAAATGATGCCACTGTGGGGATAAAACAAACATGTTTGTGGGCCAGGTGAGGACTGTGGGTTGCCAGGCTGAAGCCTCTGCTACAACAGGACATCCAGCACATGCACAGAACTTACATCTTTTTCTACACATCTTCTTTCTGATTTAATCATCACATCACACCTCTGATCCATTTCATAGTTAGGGAAACTAAAACTTGGAAAGCTTGAGGAACAGGTCTCAAACTATACAACTCATGAATGGTGGCACCAGACCTTGAACCTTAATCTTCCAACTTCATGCCCTGCTGACTCTTACAGCATTATTAGTTTCAGTCAACATTTATCAACATTTAGTTTCAGTCAACATTTATCAACATTTATGAGCTGCCACGTACCAGGCACTCTAATTCTTATGGTGTTTCAGGGATGAGGGAGCTGAGACTCCAAGATATCCATTGACTAGCCTGAGGTCACACGGTCAGCCTGGGCTGGAACCAAGGTCTGACTTCTCTAGAGGCAGAGTTTTGTCTTGAGAAGGAAACAGACCAAACAAAAAGATGTCTGTTGGGAAGGGCCTGCCCTCAGCCAACAGCAGAGGAGCAACAGAGAGAGCCTTTTCTTGGCTGCCATATGTGCAAGTTAGAGCATGTAAAGTTGCAATCTGTGCTCAGAGGTGGTAGTGGGGGGAGTCTTACCCAGTTCTTTTAACTTAATCAGTGGAAAAAGAATTCACTGTGAAAACAATGTTGCTAAAACCAAGACCTTCACAGACTCACTGTCAGTCTGCAGGTTGGTGGCATTAGGCACTGGGGGCACTGGGTTGACCTGCTATAGCCAAGAACAAGGGTATTTACAAACAGGTAGTTCTGCACAGATGGGAGTGCTGGGGCTAGAAGGAGAGCCCTGTGTGTCAGGCACAGCCATGGGAGTGCAGGCAGCAGGCTCTGGCCCCCCGAGGTCAAACCAGCCTACATCAGCACATCTCATCTAAAAGTCAGTGAGCAGGTTGGTACCTGTTACACTGGGAGTGTTTGGTGTCAAGCACTCTGTGCCACATACTCTATATCCATGATCTCACTTAGTCCTCACAAGAACCTTACAAAATAGGGACTACACATCCCATTTTTCAGATGAGGAAACTGAGGCACAGAGAGGTGAAGTGACTGGCCATAGGTCACACAGTTGATAACTAGAGAACAGGAATTTAAGCCCCAACGTGCCAGTTCCCAAGGCCTGTCCTCTTGACCACAGGGTGATACTGTCTGCTTTTAACTGGTTATCCCGCAGGGACTGTCAGCCCTGCCTTCACTGACTAATCAGTTACTGAAATGTACTTTATCATTTGACAAAGGAGCAAACAACTGGGAAAGCTGGATTAAATGAGATAACACTTGGATGATACTTAACCTGGTGTCTGGCACAATAAATGTCTTTAGGTCCTGATTCTTCACAATCTAGCCAAGGGCTCTGCCTGCCTCCGCAGTCCCACTGCCTGCTACTCCCCTGAAGCACTAGGGCTGAACCTCACTGAGCTGCTGAGCTCTCGCCACAGGCCATGGCCTCAACCTGCAAAACTCTCCCCAGCCTCTGCAGGCCCGGCTCAATGCTACCTCCTTTAGAAGCCCCCTGGGGAGTCACCCCACTTCCACTCTCATAGTCACTGCATCCAGAGGTAGCTCTTCACAGGCCCCTCTGGGCTTCAATAACCTGCTGTCCAGACCTCTATTTTGACTCTTATTTAAGGTGTAATTACATGTTCACAGATCTGTTTCCCATAACAAACCCATCAGAGATTCAGCATGCATTAAACAAAAACAGGCAGGGAAATCTAAAGCAAATACACTACTAAGAGGAAAAGTTCCCAAGTACTCAGGACACCAAGCTCCTTATGCCATAAGCCAACAGACCAGCTGGCACCATGGTAGGTCTGCAGAGCTCTTTTCGAAAGCCATAAAAAACCTTGTGAAGCACTCCTAAGGGAAACAATCGAGAAAACAGGAAAAAAAGCTTTGTGTCCAGAACCATCTCTGAATTCTGATAGTAAAAACAAACAAAAAAGTAAACAATCTAAATGTTCAATCACAAAAAGGCAGTTGAGTCAGCCAAAATGATAATGCCTGTGTGTTGACTATTTAGCACTTACTAAGTGCTAATCACTTTACTTCACACTGTGCTATTTTACCCTCATCCACGACCTTATGAAGTCGTGGCATAATTATCCCTATTTTAGAGTAGAGTGGACTCAGAAACTGTGATGACAGTGACAGCTGCTGAGAGCCCCCTGTGCTGAGCCTGCTTCTAAGCTGTCTGGTCAATACCTCATTTACTACTCACAGCAGCCTCTGTCTACCCCCACCCACAAGGGTCTGAGAGCCAGACAAATCAATCTATGTATCCACACCCACACCCCCTAGGCTCCAGCCGCTATGCCCTGGTCACTCAGCAGCCAGTGGCAGAAGAAGGCTTTGGGAACAGGCATGTCTGCTATGCTTTCTATGATGAGATATTATTCTCCTATTTAATACTCTGAAGCCCCTCTGTTATGGTTGAACTATGTCCCCTCAAAAGATGTTGAGGTCCTAACCCCCAGTACTCATCCATCTGACCTTTGTTGGAAATAAGATATTGGCAGATGATCAAGTTAAGATGAGATTAAGGTGGGCTCTAATCCAAAATGACCGAAGTCCTTCTATAAAAGGGAAATTTGTACACAGAAACAGACACACTCAGCGCTAAGATAATGTGAAGACACGGAGAATGCCATCTACAAGCCAAGGTACACCTGAGGTCACCAGAAGCTACAAGACACGCCTGGAACAGATTCTCCCTCATAGTCCTCAGAAGGAACTAGCCCTGCCAATACTCTGAGTTCAGACTCCTGGCCACCAGAAGTGTGGGAGAATACATTTCTGTTTTTCAAGTCACCCAGTTTGTTACCTTGTTATGGCAGCCCCAAGAAACTGATACAGGTTACTAGTAATTTATCAGACTATGGGGCAACTAAGAAAAAAGTGCTAATAGGAGCCACATAGGAATGTCTGAGGTACACATGATGTTCAAGAGAAAAACGAGGGAAAAAAACATGCTGACAATCTGATCAACCTATGGCAAAAACACACTTGGATACAGAGAGAAGACCAAAAGGAAATACACCAGCATAACTAAAATGTTTTCCAATTTTTTCCCCTACTCTTTTACAATTTTTCCAATTTTATCCAGCAAATGTGGTCTAGTCTTATGAATTTTATACAATTGACTTAAAATGTATTTGAACCATGGGACTATGGAGGTATATAAGATCATGTGCTCACCTGTGTCCCCTCAAAATTCCTGTGTTGAAGAAGTTCAACCCTCAGTACTCAAAATGGGACTATATTTGGAGACAGGGCCTTTATAGAGGTGATTAAATTAAAAGTAGGGTATTAGGGTACACCCTATTCCAATATGACTGGTGATCTTATAAGAAAAGGAAATTAGGATGCAGAGAGACACCAGACACTTGCATGCACAGAAGAAAAACTATGTGAAACAAGAGAGGCCTCAGAAAGTAATCAAACTGGCCAACACTTGATCTTGAACTTTCAGCCTCCAAAATTGTGAGGAAGTAAACTTCTGTTGTCTAAGTCACTTGGTCTGTGCTATTTTGTTATGGTAGCCCTAGAAAACTCATATAAGAAGTCAAAGGAGGCAAACTTCCCCACAGCCCCCAGCTCTACAAGCTAGAGCTGAGAAACAGGCAGGCTGTGACCAGAAGACAGGGCATGGGTGCATCACTCACCGAGGCAGTTGTGTCCATCGTGTGCCAGCATGAAGCCATCAAAGCAGGTACACCTGTAGTTCCCTGGGATGTTGATGCACTCGTGGACACAGCCCCCGTTGTAGTAGTCATTCTCACACTCGTCAATGTCTGCAAAATGAGGGGCACGAGAGATGTCAGAGGAAGGGTCTGGGAATCTCCTCTCCCACCATCACAGAAGTCACCAGGATGTTAGTGATTAGGGGATGACTCAAACAGGTATTCACCAAAGACCACCCTGGGGGCTCAACAGGTATTCACCAAAGACCACCAAAGGTTATAAAAATGAAGATCCTGGCTTGCAATAAGGCCATCACCTAGCAGGGCAGGGCCACAGGTTAGGCATGCGTAGAGTGCCTTCCAGTTCCTACCATAGTGAAGCAGGCAAGAAACGCGTCCAGCTCTGCTTCCCTCAAAAGCCTCGCAACACTTACAGCATGCAGGGATCCTGTCTATAATCTCTGAAAACTAGCTTTCTTTAAGCAGTGGGTAGCAAGTGAAATGAACTTTGCATACCACCAAAAAGTGTAAATCTCTGGAATGAAAGAAAAGTCCACTGACTCCTCTCCAAATAGTTTCCTTCCACATCAGATTCTGATGCCTGAATATCAACTGCTTCAGTTTCCTTGTTATAACAAAGGCTTCTGTCTCATAAACAATAGCCAATAGCCTGTGTAAAGGTCATCCTTTTTGCTGTTTTAAGTCTTTTTCAACATTTCCCATCAGGGGTCAAAGGGATATCAGTTCTGGAGTTCCAGAGAGATTTGAGAGACTTCAGAGAATAATAGGAACACGCCCAGTTAACCTTGTACAGCTGCTTCTATGTCCAAGTCCTGCTTGCAGGACTGTGGCATTATCTCTTCAATCCCTGCCCTAACACAGTGATGCAGGCACCATTATCATTATTCTAATTTTACAAGAGCACTGAAGAAACCGAGGTACAGACAGACTAACGCCCTGCCAAAGGCCACACACCTGGGAAGTGGTACAAGTGGGATTTGAGCCTGTGCACCTCGGGTGGGAGCCCAAAGGTGCCAGGCACAGGAAGACCATGTCAGAGATGGCGGAGGGGACGAGGGGAAGGGGAGCCGGCTTTTTTGCTTTTCCGCCTCCCCATCCCCAAATGCTCCTTGGTCTCGCCCATTTCAACCTACACCCACCCGGACAAGCAGGGGAGGAAAGAAGCTGGTAGTGACGCATGACAGCAAAACCGGAAGCGGAAGTGCTATGCTAAGTGGAACCCGAAGTGCCCCCACAAGCAGAACCATACGTGTCTTCCAACAGGCGTTGGAAGAGGAAGAAGCAGGAAGCAGTTGCTCGTCTATCCCGTAGAAGAGGGATTTTGAGGCGAGGTTCCAACCACAAAAGCCACCCTGTAGAAAGGGGAGACTGAGGCAGGCCTGGCAGCTTCCTCCCCTCTCGAGGAGTTGCCGCAGGGAGACACGGAGCTCCATGCTGTCTCCACGCAGGCCCAGAGGGCAGAGCATCTCGCAGTGGGGGAAAGCCACTGGGGCCAATTAACATTCTTGGGTAGGAGCGCCCATCTGGAAAGCAGAAGCTGTCTCAGGAGGTAATGAGCCTCTTGCCTCTGGAGGCGACTAAGCACTGCCTGGACACCTGCCTGCCAGAGATGCTGCAGAGTAGAGGGAATAACTCAGAGTAGGGTCTGGGCTGTGAGGCCACTCCTGGTGCCCGCTCTCCTCGCCACAATGAGGGAAGAACAAAGTAGCCCGGGGCCCCAAAGGAACAAGAGACAGGAGGCTTCACCTAACTTGTCCACAGTGGCCACCTGCATTCCACTATTCACTTGTTACCCAGGGTGGACTGGAACTTCTGGGCTCAAGGATCCTCTTGCCTCAGCCTACCAAGTAGCTGGCTCTGAATTATTTTTAAACATGATATTAAATACACTTAGAAATTGTAAATAACAGTAAAGGAAGATGTGGGATTTTATGTTTATTGAAAGAGTACATAGGTTTATAAAGACTGAGAGATACTAATTACTTCCCAGTCTGTCTGCAGCCCTGAACTTTCTCGAGAGCTCCAGATACACTAATCCAACCACCTTGGCCACAAAGCCCAACTTTAACTCACCAATCTGCACTTCCCTTGGGCTCTCCAACCTAGTGAATATTGCTTCTTTTCACTGCTCCCTCAACATCTAATTAGCTACCACCAAGCCATTGTTTTTCTACACCCTTAACACGGTTACAGTCTGCCCACTGCTCACTAACTTCCACTACCTGTCAGCATGAGTATCACCTCTCATCTGATCTGACCCAGCAGTCCCCAGACTGTTCCCTCCCTCCCTTCTTTCCTTCAAGCAAGTGACTCAAGGGAAGCTGGCCTGGTCCTCACTCTGGGGGTGGAACCTAATCAATATGATTAAAACAGAACATGCCACTAGCAACTGCTATTGGCCCCAGGGTTGGTATGTGACTTAGGTAGGATCAGTCAGACAGAGGAAAAGGACTTTTATCCCATACCTGGGTAAAAGAATTTTCTCCTTCTCATGTTGTACCTCAGAAAGAAATATGCAGGTATCTACTCCTGACATATCTACCAGTATTTTAACTCCATTTTATGGTTGGCAGATGAAAGTGCAGAGAGGTTAGGTGGTAGGGCAAGGATTAGAGCAAAGGTCTTACAGTCTACAAAAGTCATGTCCTTTCTAATAAGTTAGAATGCCCACCACATGCCAGTTATTGCAAAGTGCTTTATCTGTGATATTTCATCCTTAGCACATTTATACTGTGTAACAAGAAAGTCTTATACAATCATCCAAACACCATTTACCTATCTATCCTTCCACTTGTTCTGCACCCATTCATGCACACATACATACATGTGTGAATACCTGTCTACCTACCCAAATAGCCAGCTATGCCATCATTCATCCAAACATCCACCCACC